GTACCACACCGGTAATTGACCAATCAAAATGAACTTAGTCAATTGTAGTCCCATACATACAAAGCCGATTTCCCTTTCTTTTGGGATTTTTTTTATTTCCTTCCAGGCCATTTTGACAACTCTGGTACCTGTGCCTAGGAAATTTTATCTACTCTGTAAATAAATAAAGTTTTTTGACAGGAACTATTTTCCCAGGGCATAGGAGGCTACTTCCTGGGGTGATTTTGAGATGTTTATAAAGACATTGAAAACACGTGGATTTGAGGGTAGCCTTGTTTGCAGATGCAAAAAAATCAGAAAATGTCGTGTACGTACCCTGGGGTTTTTTGGTGTCAGTTAATGTGACAGGTATTGTTTAACACCCCCTCATTAATATTTTTTTCATGAATTCAAATACCTGATGTTTTACGGGGAAAGAAACGTGTATTGCTTTTTAATATACGGAAACTGGCTGTTTCTGGGGATTGTGTAATTCTAAAAAAAATTCAAATAAATTTCAAAGGAAAAAAAAAAAGAAGAATGCTTGGTATTAAAATATTAATTCATATCAGTAGAATTGAATGCTATTAACGACATCTAGAGATATAGGCTTTGAAAGGTTTATATCATATCTTTGTTCGTCTGCACTTAAATTTCAAACACGACAGAATTTGTAATTTTTGCCGTAAAAGTTCATTATTTCTATATACTTTAGAGACTTACCGTAAAACTTTCAGGAAACTTTCTATCAAGTCTTTTCTGCACCTTAAGTGGAATTTTATGTCGATCCCAGGTGTGGATTGAGTTTCAGGGAAATTTTCTACGTTATTGATTTTTTTTTCCAGGAGAAAGGGGGGGGGTTGACTTATTTATTCTAAGCATTTGTTAAAGTGAGTTTGTAAATACATCTACGAACTTGAGCTGGATTGTGACCTTTGAATCAAGAGGTTAAAGGTCAAGGTCAGAGGTCAAGGTCAACAAAAGCATTTCATAAAGAAATATAAAACTAACGGCCATATCAAGTATACAAGTCATTTGAACATTGCACGCGCGCGCAGGTGCAATGCATGAAAGCCATATCATCTTGACTACACTTTTAATATGTTTCTATCCTTTGAGTTTCAAAACGTTTCATCAAAAATTTACGACTATATCAAGTATATCGATTATTTAACGCATTGCGCGCGCACAGGTGCATGCATGCCCTTGCATTCAAGTTTGATAGTAGCATGATGTAGGAATCCGTCATATCTATTCATATTCTAAATTTCATCCTGTTTTGTTGAGAATCAAAAAAGTTATAGGCATTTAAAGTTTTAACCAATCAGATTGCAGCGCACGTGCATGCGCGTGTTTTCATGAAAAATGTTATATATCATACTGTAGTATATCCTCATGCATGACTATGTTTAAAATGTCAAAGCATTTCGTCAAAAAACAAAAAAGATATTGAGATTTTTGTTTCAGCCAATCAGAGCGCAGCGCACGTGCATGCGCGTGAGTTCGTGCTAATTTGACCATGTCATATTATCTACACTATTAATGTATCTTTATTTAATGAGTTTTAAAGTATTTCATCGAAAAATGTAAAAGTTATGGCTATATAAAGTATATCAGTCATTTCACTCATTTCACGCGCTCGCACGTGCATGCGTATGCGCGCAAAATGACCTTTGTTCCGCACACCTACACTTCACACCTATTAACCCTAAAAAGGTTTTAGCTCAGTTGGGTGAACAGTTTCTGAGAACACTCGCGGACAAAAAAGTACCGGAGAACAAAGAAGAAAAAAAAGAATAATAATAATAATAATAATAATAATAAGAAACCGAGTAAAAACAATATGTTCCCAAACTTCGTTTGGGGAACATAATAAGGCAGGAAAATTCAAATTCTCATTTCTCTACTAGGATTTTTACATCGGGCTCGGAGTTGGTTTTATTCAGAAAGACAGGACTGGGTTCAAGGCGACTAGGGGTACCACACCGGTAATTGACCAATCAAAATGAACTTAGTCAATTGTAGTCCCATACATACAAAGCCGATTTCCCTTTCTTTTGAGATTTTTTTTAATTTCCTTCCAGGCCATTTTGACAACTCTGGTACCTGTGCCTAGGAAATTTTATCTACTCTGTAAATAAATAAAGTTTTTTGACAGGAACTATTTTCCCAGGGCATAGGAGGCTACTTCCTGGGGTGATTTTGAGATGTTTATAAAGACATTGAAAACACGTGGATTTGAGGGTAGCCTTGTTTGCAGATGCAAAAAAATCAGAAAATGTCGTGTACGTACCCTGGGGTTTTTTGGTGTCAGTTAATGTGACAGGTATTGTTTAACACCCCCTCATTAATATTTTTTTCATGAATTCAAATACCTGATGTTTTACGGGGAAAGAAACGTGTATTGCTTTTTAATATACGGAAACTGGCTGTTTCTGGGGATTGTGTAATTCTAAAAAAAATTCAAATAAATTTCAAAGGAAAAAAAAAAAGAAGAATGCTTGGTATTAAAATATTAATTCATATCAGTAGAATTGAATGCTATTAACGACATCTAGAGATATAGGCTTTGAAAGGTTTATATCATATCTTTGTTCGTCTGCACTTAAATTTCAAACACGACAGAATTTGTAATTTTTGCCGTAAAAGTTCATTATTTCTATATACTTTAGAGACTTACCGTAAAACTTTCAGGAAACTTTCTATCAAGTCTTTTCTGCACCTTAAGTGGAATTTTATGTCGATCCCAGGTGTGGATTGAGTTTCAGGGAAATTTTCTACGTTATTGATTTTTTTTTCCAGGAGAAAGGGGGGGGGGGGTTGACTTATTTATTCTAAGCATTTGTTAAAGTGAGTTTGTAAATACATCTACGAACTTGAGCTGGATTGTGACCTTTGAATCAAGAGGTTAAAGGTCAAGGTCAGAGGTCAAGGTCAACAAAAGCATTTCATAAAGAAATATAAAACTAACGGCCATATCAAGTATACAAGTCATTTGAACATTGCACGCGCGCGCAGGTGCAATGCATGAAAGCCATATCATCTTGACTACACTTTTAATATGTTTCTATCCTTTGAGTTTCAAAACGTTTCATCAAAAATTTACGACTATATCAAGTATATCGATTATTTAACGCATTGCGCGCGCACAGGTGCATGCATGCCCTTGCATTCAAGTTTGATAGTAGCATGATGTAGGAATCCGTCATATCTATTCATATTCTAAATTTCATCCTGTTTTGTTGAGAATCAAAAAAGTTATAGGCATTTAAAGTTTTAACCAATCAGATTGCAGCGCACGTGCATGCGCGTGTTTTCATGAAAAATGTTATATATCATACTGTAGTATATCCTCATGCATGACTATGTTTAAAATGTCAAAGCATTTCGTCAAAAAACAAAAAAGATATTGAGATTTTTGTTTCAGCCAATCAGAGCGCAGCGCACGTGCATGCGCGTGAGTTCGTGCTAATTTGACCATGTCATATTATCTACACTATTAATGTATCTTTATTTAATGAGTTTTAAAGTATTTCATCGAAAAATGTAAAAGTTATGGCTATATAAAGTATATCAGTCATTTCACTCATTTCACGCGCTCGCACGTGCATGCGTATGCGCGCAAAATGACCTTTGTTCCGCACACCTACACTTCACACCTATTAACCCTAAAAAGGTTTTAGCTCAGTTGGATGAACAGTTTCTGAGAACACTCGCGGACAAAAAAGTACCGGAGAACAAAGAAGAAAAAAAAGAATAATAATAATAATAATAATAATAATAAGAAACCGAGTAAAAACAATATGTTCCCAAACTTCGTTTGGGGAACATAATAAGAAACAGAGTAAAAACAATATGTTCCCAAACTCCGTTTGGGGAACATAATAAGAAACAGAGTAAAAACAATATGTTCCCCAACTTCGTTTGGGGAACATAATAATAAGAAACAGAGTAAAAACAATATGTTCCCCAACTTCGTTTGGGAAACATAATTATGATCAGTGGGGTAGGGTGGGGATGCATTATGTATAACAAGGGGGAAATCTGGTAAAGAACAGAATGGTCAAAGCTTCTCAGGTGAGCGATGTGGCCCATGGGCCTCTTGTTTATTTTGATCAATGGATTTTATGAACGTTTTACATCTTATTCTACCTTCGAAACTGAATTCTATCCCTTTTTATAATAATTTATTTATAAATTCGTCATTTCTATTTATTCATTCAATTTTAAAAATAAACAAATAAGAAAACTATTGGAGGCAATGGAAGTTACAGCAGGTTCTAAAATTGTCCTTAAAATGAATTTCAAGCGAAGCAGTTCAATTATAGTTTTGAACATCATATAGGAAGTTGACAATTTCTTAATTAATGATAAAGGGATACCATTTTCCTTTTAAGTGTACTTAGGGCATGTCTTAGTTGTCCTTGGATTATGACGATTTATAAGAATTTTCTCTAGTCAGACTGATTCGATAGAGGAACTTAGGATTAAGAGTTTTCTAGGATGGTCTTCCTACAGAATACAGACAGAAGTTTTAAAAATCTGATTGTTGGGGTCTAGATTAGTCTTGTATTTAATTTTATGATTTTTTGATTTTTTAATAACAAAAGTTGCTGTAAAATGCCTGCCCCCCCCCTTCTCAATTAAATAAATCAAAATAGATTCAACATTTTAGAAAAAAAACTATTATATAAAGGGGTTTTGCTTCTATGTAGAATAATATAGACTTCATATTTTCCATGTTTATTCAAGGATATTCGTCCCTGGTTAATAATTTGTTTTTCCCATAATAACTTTTTGGTATACATGACCCTTCCACAACACTTTTGCCACGGTTTTTTTTGCATGAATCTGATGCAAATAATTTAACCTTAATGTAAAAAGTGATTTTGAATGGTATTCACATTAAAGTCGTATAGTTCATAATCTTGCTATATCGATTATATATCGAAGAAAAATTTGGTCTGACATATTTAAGTTCTATACTGCATATGGTATAAAACTAACGCATCCTTTTTCAGATATGTCACATTACCCAGTGCAAAGAAAAAGAGAGTGGGTTCAGTTACAATGGAAGTAACCATACTCTGAGATCAAGGAGAGCCATAACTCCGATCCACTGTACACAGTGTTGTAAGACCGACCGATGTAATCTGGACCTTTGTGGCTGTAACTATTGTTTTTGTTTTGTTTGTTCGTTTTGTTTTTGTTTTGGGGTTGTTTTGTTTGTTTCTTGTTGTTTTTTTTTTATAATCGTCGCCATCTTTATCTTAGTTTTCAAATTAAATATTGGCAATGTTACTTACTATGCTTTTCAATAAGATTTAGTTAATAACATATTGCAATGTGCTATATTTTAGTTAAGAAAACTGGTGCCGACGCATTGAGATGTTATTCTTGTTCCGATATCAGACATCCAAAAGAATGTAATGACGTCATCTACTGCCAGCCGAATGAGGTACATCTCTCATAATTTCAGACCTTTCACAGGAAAATGCTTTTAGAGAAGCCGTCCTAATTTTAAAAAGCATTCACACAGGCTCACATGTACTTTCTTAATCATATTCTTTAAAACTTGGCAATATCTGAAATATTTTTATAGACTTTACATGCAAAAGCAGAGTAAGTTGGTTCTTACTAGAAATAGAAAGGGGCGCAGAAGTCGAGAGATCATGACTTTCTATAAGCTTCTTCAATTACTTGTACTCGAGGATTTTTTTTCTATTCTTTGTTGAAATAAATATATGTTTAACAGATATTTTACCCCTGAAGGTGGGGTTTAAGTTTGAATCGAAGTAGAATGGTGGTTTTCCCTTCTTTTAAAATGTGTCTCTAATGTCTGAAGTTATTTTTATTGACTATAAATACATTTTGAATCATGAAAGAAATTTCTTTCAGAAATGCCTAATCACAAAAGAAATACGTATAAACCCCGACGGAACACTTAGTCCCGTGTATCAGCAGCGATGCGAACGGAAACAGGTAAATATATTTGGGGGTCTATGTGGGGAGAGGGGGGAGTGTTAAAAGAGCGAATTCGCGTTTACAACCACGTGCGCCAATCTCAAACCCAAATCGTATCCAGGTGGAAAAAAAAACATCCTTCTGAAAAAAAATATTTTCTTTATTAGTTGTGCATAGCTGTTCATGAACACAATAAAATTCCAACGCCAACCAGTGCCACAACTACAGCCGCTACAACCACCGCCACCACCACAGCCGCTACAACCACTGAAGAACCACAAACTACCACCATTTCTACCACCACCACCACAAAGAAAGTCGTTGAACTGACTCCTCCCCCATTGTTTAGATCACTCGGTCGATACCGTCGCAGTCACAACTTGATACAGATAGGAGCGGACTGCTGCGATGATGACTACTGCAATAATTTTGAAATCGGTGGACCAGTTCGTAAGTAGCGATCACATTTACCGTTGGCCATTATTTTGTTGACAACAAATAAAGTACATTGTATACCAAACACAGGCACTTGAGTTGTTTCGGAAAAAAAATTACCCATCGTATAATGATAACACGTGTTATTATTATACACTGTACTATGGGTTAAAAATTTATTACAGAAACAAATGTCTGTGATACCAAATATAGAATACACAAGGTATCAGCTTTTCAAAAAAGGCTATTGAGCAATACTTTTGTGGGTTTAAAATATGTCCTTACTTTACATTTTGAGAACCTTGTGTACAAATGAAATCCTTGATTTTATTTGACTTGTAGAAGAATCATCACTACACTGCATACTAAAGAGTGCTCTTGGATCTAAATAGCTGCAGAACTGGAGCATAGGCGCCTATGAACTGGAGCTCTCCGAAAATATATTGACAGACCGGTCTATCAATATTTTTTTTCCGGAGAGCTACAGATCTGCAGCTAGGATCTTAATTGAAAGCTTCATTGTACACCTATTATAAAATCTGTTATCAATTCATGCACTGTAAACATTTTAAAAGATGCGATGGATTAATTAAATACACATTTTGTTGGAGTGTATTTTATCCCTGGAAGTAAACAGTAGTAATGATAGTTCTATCTATAGTAATGAGTGTTCATTTATGTTTTTTTTTAAAGGGGGAGGGGGTAATGCCACTACATGTATCAAATATTGAGAATGATATAAGTAAATTCAATATTTAGACACCTTTTCGGAAGAAAAATCCAAGATTTTGCACTGGTTTCTTATTTATTGTGTGCATCTGAACAGACATAAAATAGATCGTGCATCTGAAGACCATTACTTGTTGAACTGCGTTGTTTATTATTTTTGGACTAGTCCATTTATGGAATAAACCAACCGCGGGATCGGGAAGCAAATTAGAAAAATCATTTATTGATAGTGTTGCATGTCCAAATACTGATATATACGATATGTTATAAATGGACTGATCAGAGACATATAAAACCATGGTTTTATATGTCTCTGGACTGATCCAGCAGTATAGAAATGCATAAAAAAGGATACACGGACATGTTGAAACGGTGAATCACATAGAATATTCTGTTCCACGCAAAAAGAGTAAATGAAGTGAACATTGCAGTATTTTGCATCAGTAATATCATTCTTTTTTCGGAAAATTGTTTCTTTTAAAATGCAGGTAAAGAATTGCAAAGTAAATCAGCTTGCACAAAATTTAGCTCTTTGGGTATGATCGCATAGTTTCGGATCATGCAGATATTAATCCTTTTACAGCCTGACGCCGTGACGTCGGGCAAACATAAAGAGTGTTGCAAGAAATGTTTCCTTTCGGTCATTCCTTTTTTTGAATATCATATATTTTTCGTCCATTGCCACAACGTATTCCTTTTTATTACCGTCTTCCAAGGTATAGTTAGTATAGTATAGTATAGTATAGTTGAAGTTTTTTACAGTCTTCGGACTATGCACTTCCTCTCTTTTGTGATTGGTAGAAAATGCATGATGAGAAAATTTTCAATTATTTCATTGGTTGAAATGCTGTTCAAGGCAAGGGAGATAACTTTCTGATGATCTAATTTTCGTACGACTTAACAATTTTGCAAGATTTTCAATCTTAAAAAAATGACAAAACGAACAACAAAATCAGCAGTAATTAATTCCTAATAACATGATTTTTTGTATAGCAATAAATAAAAAGATCTCTTTAATTTCATTATAAATAAAATTTGATTTTTATTGCTTGCAGGCTTTACAATTTGTTATTATTCTTTTCCTCTTTCTTGTTTGAAGAAGGGAATGGAATCAGCCGAAGTTTGCCGAAAGCTCTCGGCCAGTTTACGGAGATGACCGAGTAACAACCGTGGTAGGGCTAATGCCAGTAAAAAGTTAATGTAGAAATACAAAATCAAGAAATTCACAAGAATTATACGGCCTGATAGGTGTATATCAGTTTACTGTTGAAGATTGTTGCTAAAGACGGTAAGCTTTTTTAAAAAGCTCTACTTGTATGACGTCTTTTGTTGGACCAGGTATATGACAAATGCACCGTGCCCTTATTTTATCACCAGAAGTTTAAGGTCACTGACAGAAAAAGTATAGGGCTTGTTTACTTAGGTCTTTCCACCTTTCCGTGGAAAGACCTGTTGAAATTGTTCTGTTTTTTTATTATTTTTTAAAATTATTTTTCCGCCGAATGGTTTTTTGTTTCACAAGTTATCGAAGAGATTTATAGTTTATAAAAATGTACTCCTTTAATGATTTTTTCGTTTGACCCTGCGTATATGAACTTCGACCCCTTTCGGAGTCATTGCCAAGTTAGGCCATTCCAAGTTTTTTCTTTGTTTAGCATCCACCCATCTTTTTAAAACCTACCTACCTATTCGCAAAAACACACAAGCCAAAACATAACACAGGCTTAAAAGTCATAAAAAATGACGCCCTTCAAATGACTTGATCTAACTAAACTGCTTTAATAGAAGAAATATCTATTCTTAAGCAAAAACAAGGGGTTTAATGCTTAAAATACACCCAATATAACTTACTGTACAGAATTATTTGGAGAAATTGACAAAATTAAAAAATTTCGACTTAGCTAATCAATTTCAGGACTCCTGATGTTGTGTGTTTTTTCTTATATTGGGTGTCAAAAACCAAGGCGCACGCGGACGCTAAACATAGAAAAAACTTGGAATTGCCTTATTGTCAATTTTGTCAAGGTCAAAGGTCAAGGTCATTTCAGAATTTTTAAAATTTTCATATTTTATCCTCTAAGCCACTTTTGGTTTCTTTTTCATAGTATTTAATTGTAAGAACTTACATATAAAACAAAATTAAAATTCAAAGAAAGTGGAAAGACCTCTAATTGTTCTGTGAACAATAGGTCTCCCAGTTTTTTCTTTGTAATATCAAAATATGCGAAATTTTTAATGCTTCACATCTATGTTGTGATATTGACCCAGAGTCACTTTGTGAGTAAGGACCTAGGCCCAATGAAGATCTTTCGAGCAAGTTCAAGCTTTTCTATATCATGCAGCTCCGACGAAAGACCTCTCGTTGCTTTGCGGAAAACTTGCTCTGACTAGATTTTCATATTTTATATGTGAAAGGATGTTTTATATAAAAAGGTAGGGAGAATCATTTAAGATAATATCTTAAGCATGTTAAAGAACATGACTGGATTAGTTTCTCATTGCACCTCGGTTCGAGATTTGGATTTCATAATTACTTGTACTTAGGCAACGATTCATGAACCGCACAGGTCGTTTTGTGAACAATTCGGCTCATTTCGTGATCGGTAAAATTCGTTTCTTGAACGATACAGTACCTTTCCTGCATTGAATGGTTCGTTTTGTGCCTGATGTGTAATAGTCTGCAATATAACCACACGATTTCATATTACTTCTTTTTTTTTTTTTTTTTTTTTTATTACAATTTTTTTTTCGATACATACATGTACCCCCTTCCCGAGAAAGGATGAATCCCTCCTTTACTAACCCCTTAATATTCCACACATGAACAAAGGAATAATTATACCACTGCTAGTCTTCAAAATATTTGTTTTCATCATGTTTTAGTTCATTGTTAAATGATCTGATATAAATCGAAAAAGTCTAGCTGATGTAACCAAAAATATTGTTATTTTGATTTCAGACAATGACCAAGAATTAATCTCACTGCCCGATAGTTACGTATGTCGTGAGTACACTATCAAACATTGATAATTCAAATTACCGGTTGAAGATTATAGATATACATTTTTATTTATCCTTATATTTTTTTATGTTAATGAAGACGTCGACTCAATGAGCATTATCAATTTTAATAAACAGCAACAACCACTACACCAATAATAAATTTTACCATGCCAATGACAACAACAACAACAGCTAAGCCGACTACAGAATCTACAACACAAAAACCAACAACTCTAAAAACAACTCCATCAACAAAGACAACACCCAAAGCAACTACAACAGTGACAACAAGTACCATACCAACAACATCAACGACTGCATCAACTACAGCACCGACGACAACAGCAGGCACAACAACAACAGAATTGACAACAGAATCTCCTACTACAATAACACCGACTACTGTAGCACCAAAAACAGCAATACCAACAACTGAACCCCCGACAACAATAAAAACAACACCGACGACAAAACCGACAACAACAACACCGACGACGACTACAACAACACCGACCACAACAACAACAACAACAGAACCAACCACAACAACGACAACACCGACCACAACAACGACAACACCGACCACAACAACGACAACACCGACAACGACAACACCGACGACGACAACGACAACACCAACGACGACAACACCAACAACAACAACTCCTAAACCACCAAGTATGTTTCAAAAAACTTAACAAGGCAGTATTCATGTTTTGGGTATCTCAGTTTTCTCTTTGTATTTTCTGCCTCCTGTGTTCAAAGATCGGTTGGGGTGGAAACTTATTATACCCCCCGCTTGAAAAAAGGGAGGGTATATAGTAATCGGTATTTCCGTCCGTCCGTCCGTCTGTCTGTCCGTCCGTCTGTTACGCTTTGGGGTACCCATCTCTTATCCACAACTCCTCTCATACCACTGAAGGAAATTTAATGAAACTTTCACAAACTCTTCATTACATATTGCCATTGTGCACCTCCTATTTTACTTTTTGATCAGACATATATTTTGGATTTTCCAGAGCAAAACATGGACACTGCCATTATATTCATATGGGAGATGGGGGGTATCATTTAGTGAGCCCATTGCTCACAGTACCTCTAGTTATTGATCTACTTCATTGTGTTTTCTGGTTTAATTAAATAATCTTGTTATACTTTTGAAGTAATCAAAAGTGACAACTTTTGAAGTAATCAAAAGTGACACGGAATATTGAGAACATTACACAAGGTCATCATGGTCAGAAATGGAAAAATGCAAGTTTATAATTAAATTTGGCATAGGTTTTCTTGAACCTAACCAAAAGGGTCAAATTATCATTTAATTCAGTTTTCAATTAATATTTTTGGAGAGACGGATCCTTCAAATGAGACCGTATAAACGAAGATCCCCTGTCGCAGTAGGTGCTGGCATGAAAAAAAAAACCTGACTGCTTAATGGCAGCAAGTGCTATGTATAGGACAAAATTTGCAGCTCTTCAATGGCAAGTTGTGGCACTTCCATATGAGTGAAAAATTTTCAAGAGGGAGGATAAACAACATAGAAACGGAATTCTTACCATAATGTTTACTTTTCAGCTTCTTGTTATCTGTGCAATGGTATGCCTATCTACATTTGTGAACAATTCTCCACACCTCTACAGTGTGCTACAAGTGAACAACAGTACTGCCTGAATATTCTGGTGAACAACAGAGACGGGTCAAGGACATTAGACAGAAAGTAAGATTTCAAACTATTTAAATTTTTATTTAAATATATTTCATCACAAATACTTGGGAAGTAGTTTCAAGGATAGAAGTTCAAATGAAATTGTGGTTGGCAGGCACACAACTTCTCCTCCCTACTCCCAATATGCAGAAACACAAACAAACTTCGGTTTTAATCTCAGAATACATGTATTACATGTAGAGTATGTCTTGTTTGGAATGGTTTAGATCTCAGGTCAATTTACAAATGAAATACACAAATTCCAGCATTTGCAAGAACAAATGTACCAAAGAGATAAGAAAGTCCTCCATAAAAAAATTGTATTTTTCAGTTTGTAAGAAAGTGATTTTCTTTTTTTTTTGGGGGGGGGGGGGCACGAACAACCCCCCCCCCCCCCCCCACCACTACCAGATTGAAAACCATTGCTAAAGATGTGTACACTACACTTATTTTCAACCTGGAAATTTCAGGTACCTTATTAAAATTGTTTTCATGAGTATTCTCATAAGTTTTGATCATATATTTTTTCAGATGTGCAACAAAAGATGAGTGTAAAACCAAGTGGTGGGACCAGACCTCGGATAGACAAGAATGTTCTGGATACGATCCTTCAAGTTATACCGCGCAATATTTCACCTGCACCTTTTGTTGTTCATCTAGCCAGTGTAACAAAAATATAGTCCCAGATAATCTGTATGTGCCAGATCAGCAATAATTAACACTACAAAATATATACACTCTTAATGTGATAGAGGTGGTGCAAGAAAAAATGCAAAATCAAAATAACTGTACATATTTCATATCAATGAACAAAATGTGTTTTACCAAATATAATCACATGGATATTTTAAACAGATCTTATTCTTTCATTCTAACCTGTTTTAATGATAGGACAAATCCAGCTACTTTGGTAGGTATATAAAAGTTATCAGAAAATTTGAAATTCAGTGGCTAGTGAAAAATTCTGAGAAACTGACATTCTCAACAAGAGGCCAATGGGCCACATCACTCACCTAAGAAATGTGGCTAGGAAAAAAGCAGAAATCAGTTCAGTATTGAAAAGTTTTAATCCATAAGAGTTCCCAACCTATCCTTAGAACAGAAGGGGCTAAACTTGAATCTACACTAACTACATGTAAGAATGCTTGGCTTGCATATTTCTGTAACTGACTTTTTTACCCTTTAAATTTGAACTTACTCTGTGGTCTCATCCTAACCCCCATTGTCGCAAACCACGGCCAAAATGTACGATCCTCTCCCATTCTGGCCGTGCTTGAACGAGGAGAGAATTCTTCGTAGCTCATTAAAATATTGACCAATGCGAGTAAAGCATAGTCGGATGATGAACTTTATTGCGACCTTTCAATATCCCATTGCTGGACATGAAATATTTCTTGTATACTGTTGATGTCAGTTGTTGCAATGGAAACAAAACTTGCCACTGACTGAATATGACGTCACAATAGAGAGGCGTAATTATTCAAGATTACGACACTTTTTGTGATCAAGCAGCCACGGGTGGGAGAAAGCTATAAATGCGGACTCCGGACCGTGGCTTGAGACGATGCCAAACTCCCCACCCCAGTCATGAATTGAACAAATCTAAATCTAAACTACCTGAGGATGCTTACATTAATACACTTGCATGATGTGGAAGAACGTGGTTATCTCTTACTCTGATTTTCCACAACTACTACTGAATAGAGCAGCAGGAGAAAGTTGCATGTGTACCAGAAGTGGCTTAAATAATAAGGGAACATAGCTCAAAAATTTTACGAAGAGGACAAAACTGCATGATTCAAAATATTCGGGGAAAAAACAGTAATGATAGGACATCTGTGTGACTTGGATGACCAAAAGAGAAACTAACAAAGTTTTTATTGTAGTAAGTTTATTTACAATGAAAATCTTTGTGTTTAATTTTTGATAAATATCTCACATACTTCCTAACCAATAAGGGCTGAAGAATCTGAAAAGTGATCGGAGTATCATGCAGCAAATGTCTTATGACAGCATACAGTGGCATCACCAGTGTTTGTTATGGACCATTATTTGTGGATTTTATGGGTCACACTAAACCATGAATTAACATCCCAACTAACATATATAAACATACTGATTCATTGAATCTACAGTATAATAAATTAGTAAACCATGAAATTAAGTCTCCTTGAACATGACACAGGTGAAAACAGAAAGCAATAGGTCACCTGAACAAGTGCACGAGACTAACAAAACTTCACTTTCAACATGTCAAATTGTAAATAAAAATGCACATCATTCTTTAACTGTTCAAATTTGGCACAAATATTAATGTAGAAAAAAGAACCTTCTCATTTATACAAAGCAGTATTTTCTTATCTATACATTTACAACCACTATATGCACATCCTAGCAAAATAAATCACTCGGACATCAAGTAAATGAGTAATATATATTTTTTTTATCTTAACAGTACATTTGGTTCTTTGATTTTTTTTTACTTGATACTGATCTGAGTTTCTGGCAGGCTTGTTAAACATTGTCATGCATAAAAGATTCAAACAAATCATGCAGAAATTGATAATCATATGATAAATAACATACAATACATGTACATGTATATCCCTTAATAAACAAAACATGATTCATCCATGGTTTCTTCCTTACAATAAATATAAAATAATCAGATTCTCATTAAAATCAAGATGATGATTTTTCTTGGCTGAATAAGTCTTCATGTTTCCCGAACATTCATGCAATGAATTTTTTATCATACCGAAACAAGCGAACCTTTGAAATAAACATAAACTTTCAAATTTGGCACCGCTCTCAAATTCACTTTCATTTTTTTACGTAAAGTTACTATAAAACCCTTTGATCAACACATTATCATCAATTTTGTGACGTAAACCAGGCTACTGTGATGACTACTACTCTCGGGAGTTTTCATTCAACGAACGAGAACTATAATGCGGGAAAATACACTAGGTGTTCCGAAGAGGTGGACTATGATGAAAAGCGTGCCGACGGCCTTGAAATATATAGAATAGAACCAATCAGATAACGCCTTGTATAGAGTAATTATAATGAGGTATAATAATATATATTTATTGACTGAGTTCAAGGGCAACATGCATTTTGTTGGACCCAAGAACCAAAATGTCTGCCTGAGGCTGTTAGGCCAAAGGCAGACAGTTTGGTTGAAGGGTAAGGGTCAACAAAATGCATTTTGCCCTTGAACTCAGTCAAAAAATGTTTTGTTATACCTTTCATTTTATTTATTATTATTATTTTTTATTTTTTACAATCTGTATTTTGTACTGTCTTTCGTGATGTAACCTAAGGACTGTCACTTTTGAACACCAACAAATGAAAATGAAATTAAGCTTCGCCCATTCTGTGACGTAAGCGGACCAACATCTCACTCAGCGGTCAAACATCTCATTCAGCATAGGAACAAATTTTTAAAGGTATAACAATCTTCTTTGATACTCAGGAAAGTTAAAATAAATTTTGCTCTAAAAAGACCATACAAATTATGGAGGCACAGAAATCAACAACCCATCAGAGGAGAAGCTGGACTGTCTTAAGAAATTATTGAAAGTTATTATAACAATGAATAAAACATAAAATGAGGAAGAATGAATTTTTTTTCACAGATACTTGCTTTTGCTGAAAGGAAAAAAAATTCAGTAAGAGATTACATGAAGGTTGACTAGACTTACTGGGAACAGTAAAGTGAACACAGGTATAAAATAAACTAAAAAGAACTACTAATGCCCAAAACTGTAAATATGGTAAAACATAACTTAAAACTATTTTCCCCATTTTCTTTTAAATTTGTTTCATTGTGAACTCAAAATGCTGTGCAACATTCCTCAACTATTTAGGCCAAGATATACAATTGTGTGTTTCTAGTTTCCTGAACAACCCTAAAATATATCAGCCCACCCTCAAAAGTCTGACACTGTATTTTCCATTGCCAACAGGAATCTAACTTTTTTTGGCAATTGACTCGTATCATATTACAGCACATCACAATGTGTAAATTTTGACTGTTCGGTAACCCAGTGTGGGAAAGATTTTTTTAAAGATGAAAACAAAAATAAAAATCTTCTACAGCATGATGATGGAAGGAAAATGGATTGTACAGTCAATTCTCGAATTATCGCCATTCGATTCATCGCCATTTTCGCAATACCGCCATGATTTCCCAAGAACGTTTTTCCTGCTATATAAAATTCTCTTTATAACGCCAAATTCGCATACCGCCATCCGCCACCCTGTTTTCACAACAAACGTCCATTTTTAAGTGTCAATTATCTCGATATACCGCCACAGGTGCATATGGTCAGTGAAGCGCGGCTAATTAGTTGACGCTATTCCTGTTGTAAAGCATGCAAACGCAGACAAGGTACATACAAAGTAATTAAACAAGAATTAAATAAACAACAATTTTAACATGAACAGTTAAAATAATTTTGTTTTCTGTTTAATATAATCATTTATTCATGGCTTCGCACGGTCGTTGTTAAAGTTCGCCGATAACGGTATTATTTTGATGATCTCTGCTTTAAACAGTGCAAAGTTTGCTGGAAAAAATAATTATACGGTATAAACTGTGAACGTTCCATCAACAAGGATACCATAAACAATGAACATATTCAAGAATTCATTTTACTTATTATCGGCAATATATCACGACGATCGACCCAGTATGTTTTTTTTTTCAATATCGAATGTGCAGATTTACATTCATATACAAATATTTGTCTTTATTTCATAACTACACATTTTGTTTTAGCAAAATTGTACATTAAAAAAATTACTTGAAGTATTTTCAATCAGAAATATGTTTTTATATACATGTACATGTAATAATAAGAATAGAAACGCTAAATGGTATTTCTAAGAACGATAACTCTACTTCTTGTTTTCTAAAAGATGAGAAATTCAATTCATCGCCAAATTCGTTATACCGCCATGATTTCTAAATTACAGAAGGCGGCGGTTTATCGAGAATTAACTGTAATTGAATATTCAAGTGACCTAGATATAAAAATGACCGAAATAAACCTGTCATCATGACCCCCTATCTCTCACTAAAACTCTGTCTCTGTTTTCTGGTGTATTGTCCAGACAAGTCTGAATTTTCTCTAATACAGTCTTCAGCCTTCTGTCCAGAGCCTGGTAATGTTCCTCTGTCAGTATGGGGGAGATTGGATCCTGCTTCAACACAGTCCTCAGAACTCGGCTTAAAATTCCATCACTGAGGGTCAGAAGTCTGTTGTAGGTATCGAACCTGATTCTTAAGAAAGCAGAGACAATATTAAAACATAGGCCGATTTTTAAGGCTGTTGTGATTCAATTACCGGTATTTGCTTTAATACTGAGGTGTTTTCATACATGTATAGGTATATGTCTTTGCAGTCTTGAAATCTTTACTATATCTTCATGTTTGAAATCTTTACATAAATGTACTTTATATAAATGATTTTAACTTACACACAGCATTGGTATAGGGGTGCTAAAATTGAGATTTCATCATGGAAAGGATTTCCAAAGCTGAAAAAAGATGTAAATGCAGTGTATGATCTAGAGATTTAGGTACAACATAAAACCATATGCCAAAGAAAAAAATCCCTCATAATTAAATTGCTTTCCTTTATTAACCAAAAAAGAAAAATATTGGTTTGAACACCAAAGTTTCAAAAATTACCTTTTTCCATTGTCGAGTATAAGAAAAACTGATTCTAACTGATTTCCAAGGGTTTCATATCTATGTCTGTCAGCATTTCCAATCAGAAAATCAAAGACAGCAGTGTCAATCAAATCAAAGAGTCTTGGTCCATGACCATAAATAGGACTGGATTTTACAGCATTGCAATAATCTGGATCCTTTTCC